ATTTAAAAGTTACTAGCCCTCCTTAGCGCAATTTCGCACCCCCTCCCCACTTCATTCTCTTTTCTGAATGGGTATTCTTACTACTGATATACGCATTATTTAACTTTTCCCACCAATTTTTATAAATGACAAAGTTTTCACCGCATTTACTGTTTACGGCCGGCCTACGTGCCTTCACTTATGACCAGTATTCTCGCAAAAATCTAAAGTTTTACTGACCGTTTCCTTGTTTTTTGAATTTCGCAATTTTTCTACACCCGTTTTTCGAAATTTTCCGTTCAACCACTGAAACCTGTACACACTCAATCAAAATAATGTTAGTACAAAAACTCTAAAACATGCTGCGATCTCCCAAACGTCTCCTTCTTGGCGCCCTCGAATTTAATTAGAATTTTAGTGGTTTCGTGACGTTTTTTAGATTTATCTGTTGGCGGTGGCGAGAACGGGTGCATACATTCGCTAAGTGTTCGACACAGGCAGCAAACTGACGACGCCAGCACAGGTGTGGCATGATCCAGAAGTTGCATTCACTTTCGACTTGTAAATTCGGACCAGTTAAGACACTGTCGCTCGGAGCCTTTAAGTGCGTATGGTGTGGAAGGAAAAGCGACTTGATCCAAGCGACAATATTGCTACTCAGCTAACAGACCCTCATGTTCGACAATTTCTCGCTTTTCCAACCAAGCTCTGATCTATTTTTCGCGCATCCTTCAGGGGGAGGGGGTGGGCGGAGTGGGAAATACACCCCTACACCTGTCTTTATGCAGTCGAGTAGTTAAACTTTCCAGTTTCTGTCATTAAGAAAAATTTAGAGTATCACTTCGACAGCCACCTAATACGTCTTGCGGAGGGAGGAGACAAGCATAATTCTAAGCTCTACTTAAGAAGGCCGACTGAACTGCTGCCAGATAGATCAAAGGGATGCTGTGAGTGAACTCTTAGGAAGACGCCTTGATCAAGCTGTCTCACTAACCGACAAGGGTATGGAGACGGACCCCACTTTACTGTCGATAGACTGCGGATCGTGTCACATGGAATTAACGATAAGGGGTGTTTTACGGGTGGGGCAGCGCACTAGACAGTAAACTGACGAAATGCAGGAAAAAACGGAAATTGTTTGGATTTATCCTGAACAACCCATCGTACGTTTTCATACGACAATGGGAATGAGCGCGGTAATTAAAAACAAAAAGATTAAAAAAATAAAGGAGTTGGAGTGATGGTCTGAAGTCGTGTTAAGTGACTGTTATTGGCAGTGTAATGCCGGATGCAAAAATAAAAGCCCCTATGACGTGATCCACAGTATGCAGTCAGTTAAGTGGGGTCACTCTCTATACCGTTGCCCACGAAGCTTTCCAGCACCAAGGGTTCGGATCTTATTCTCTACTAACCCTGTTTTTCGTGGAGAAGGTAAGGATAGACTGACATCTCAGTTTACCTCAATGGTCAATCTGATCTTTCACTTTTTCCTGTGGAGCAGGTTATATTGGTCGCACGTATCGATGCGGCAACGGTAGGGTGAATGACCCCGCTAAACTGTAGGTAGACTGTGGATCGTGCCGTGTAGGGGTTTTATCTTAGCATCCATTTGCAGGCCGTTGCAAACATAACGTTGTAAATTACAATTACATCCCATGACCTGCAGCCATTGTCCAACCCCCGATATTTTTGGAAATTTCTGTTTATTTTTTAACTTATGCGCTCATTTCCGTTGCCATACAAAACCTTATGATAAGAAGTTCGGCAGAAACCCAACCAATGTCTCTGTTTTCTTTCGTTTCGTCAGCTTACCCTCTGGTGTGCTGTCCCACTCGTAAGACCTCATTACCATCATTCTTTTATGATACGATCCACAGTCTAGCGACAGTTAAGTGGGGTTCTTCGCCCACCGTAGCCGTCGGAGCCTATATAAAAGAATAGGATTACACTTCCCGGCACGGTTGGGAAAAGGCGAAACCAGGAGCATAACGGCGTTATTCTCACACACGTTATTGGTTCCGAGTATCGTGTGGACCTCAGCGGATCTTTCTGATTGATTTATAAGGTCCCATCGAGCTACCCTGAGCTACTGGGTCAGCATCTATTAGCAACGGCAGAAGCGGCCACTGTCAGGTTACGAAAGTCCTTCTTGTGCGTGCAGACGAATCTCGTCCAGGCTCCGCGCTTGCCGTGGTCGAAAGTCGACTAACTGCATGCTCCTCTTCACGTTTTTCCGCTCGCATCCCGCTACCTGGCATGCCTCGTGTTACCTCCCACTCCCCCCCCCTCCGCCTGCGTTTTCAGACGAACTTTACGCGATTTCTCTAATCGCTGGTGTGTTTTACTTGACCCCGTTCCCATATAAATTTATCAAAAGCAAATGTAGGCTCGCCAACTAGTCTTCTGATTAAAAAACCACTCGGTATAGAGCTCCAAGTTGCCGGTACACAGAGCATCAGGAGGAGCCTGGAACGGGACCATATGCGGCTTCTCGCTCTCAGTCTGCGCCCCCGCCCTGGCAGCAGACCGCGCATTCACGTCAAGTACGAGCGGACACACCCTGTGTCGGCAGGTGTGTGTGTGTGCGTGAGATTCTCGTCGGGGCCCTGCAACGCACTAAAAGACGTCAGGAGTAAGCGTGCTCGCAACCGGCGAATGAGGGGGGGGGGGGGGCTGGTACGAGGCAGGTACAAAGACACCCGGACGAGGCCGCAGTGCACACGAACTTTAACTGGCTTCACGAGCAGCCAGATGGGCGTGGCGGGAGGAGGGTGTGCAGCTTTCGTGTATATTTTAAGGGCTTTTTCATGCAGCCTGGATTTATCGATTTCCAGGGTGCAGCCACCGAGACAGTGACACTACTAGGTGTGGCTTTCAAGGCGGATGACAAGGCTGCATGACTCGTGTCGCTCTTACTGACTTCCGCAAACGGCCGATCCAACAGAAGGTTCTACGTTTAGCCTGCGGTCTCCGTCCGTATTTGCAGATAACTGTCTATTTCGTGTTGCGAATTTGCCGGTGGGTGGGATAGAGGAGAGTCAAAGCCGACTCTTGTTGTGACAGAGGTGGTCGATAGTTGGATAAGGGAAGTCACATTGTATTAGCAGCCAAATTGAGTGGGGGAAGGTACGTGCTACGATGGTGAAAGCAGGAATTAAGTTTTGTTTATGAAATCAGCCGTTGGATGGCACGTGCCGGTACATAAAAGCAGTCAGCTCCTGCTCCACTGTCACTTCGCATAACTGCTATTCCAGTCTTCCCGTAAACCTAATAATAACTCAGAAATCGATCTCTTTTTGAGTTCAAAACATTTGCGAGGTTAAAGAAACAACTTATTCAAAATTTTCTTAAACGCCTTTTAATTACTCGCGCCTGGTAGTCATCCAATGGATTCCAACGAGCAGTGACTCTGTCCTGGTTTCGTCGTCCATGGCTTAGAAGGGTTTTTTAATCTAAACTCCGAAAATTCTGCCAGGCCGGGTAGATTCGTTTGAATCTCATCTAATCAAGGCCATCCAAGTTACTGCAAAAATGCGGAAGACGTTGACCCACCTGTGAAAAACTCAGTGACCTTGATGACATGCGAACCCACTTGAGCCAACGCCTTAGCCACCTGACATACAAGGCCTTACCGTGAGAGGGTCAATTTACCTGGTATTCATCTGGTGGATTCTAGGTGGATGTCCTGGGAAATACTGCTTGGTTAGCCAACTTTGGTGGATTTCACGCGTTGTAGTAGGCCGGACGGGTAATGACCCAAATGTGGTTAAATTCACGGCTCCCAGTGGGGCCTCGTAGCACGGGTGACACCCCCCTTGCTGTCGTGTTTCTGAATACCAGTGAGGTCGTCGAGTTTTTGCAGATAGGTCAAGAACAAATATGTCTTCACTTTTTAAGTTTAAATATTTGGCAACGATCGGATTAAGGACCCCAAACACACGACAGTTCGACCGTCGATTTCGACGATGTCCACCGTGTGCCCCCACAGCTGCAGCTGCAACGGTGGGAGCAGGGACGGTGACTTACGCAGGGGTTTATAGTGCCAGTAGACTTGCGCTGCATCTACCTACACTCTCTCCTCCTCCCCCGCCTGGGCCCGGTGTCAAGACAGAGTCAAGAAGACCGGAGACGAGGGAGGCCGCCGGTGGATGGCTCGGACGGATCCTCACCTTGGCGTTCCACCACACCCCCTGGTCCACACAACAATAACCAAGATTTCAACCAACACAACAGAGATTTGGAGGCTGGCACGGCCGAAGCCGCACCTGGGCGTGCCGCCAACGCCTGGCTCGGATCCCACACTGTGGTGAGAGTGCCATAAAGGCCACATTAAAAAGGAGCCATTGCAGCCTGACTCTCAGACCGCCTCCCGTTGAGGAGGAGGTCCAAGGTACCCCGTCAGTTGGCAACCTTCCAAGCCACGGCTTTGAGCGCACCGTGATAGCTTCAAGCGCGTCAGATTGTTTATAGTGAGGAGAAAGTGCGCTGAGTCGTCGACCTCACTCTCCCTTCCCATTCCCACCCTCCAGCCGCCGTCCGAGCCGGTCGGCAAACTGGAGTGGGGAATGGGCGCGGTGGTTGACATGGTCGACTGACCATGCCTGCGCGCGCCACAGCACGACCTGGCCCCCCATACACACAAACACCAGGATTTCACACAACGGGGGTTGAACGGCGTGTCTCCCACTTGCGTGAGAGGGCCGTGGAAGGTGCTGCTTCAGCCCATCCCCAGTCCACCAGTCCGCCACTCCACACAACACACACACAACGTGACGAACTGCGTGAACCGAGAGCGGGTCTCAATCAGCAACCTTCCTATCCACGACACTTGACGTGTCGGGATAGTCTCGGACTCAAGTCACCCGTGCAGCCGAGGCCGCATGGGGACCGAGTCTAGATGTGGACTTTCCACTTGCGTGGAAGGTGGCAGTTGGTGCATGCGGTGGGTGAGTGTTGATGCGTAGTGGTGATGGTGGAGGAGGGTATGGAGTGTGTGAATGTGTGGTGTAACCGGCGGTTGTCTACCGCAGGTCGTCGTGGATGCGCATGTGACCGAATAGACCCATGCGGTGCCTGAAAGTGCGAGGGCAGTGTGGGCAGTGGAGGCGAGTGCGGTGTGTGTAGGTTGGTGCTCCAGGCACTGGTTCGCCAGTCTCTGTGCGATGGATTCGCAAGTGACCGACCAGGCCGATGCGTGAGGTGAAGATGCGATCGCAGTGAGGGCAGATGTAGTCCTGGCCCTCACGTCTGATGATGGAGGTTGCAGGGGTTGTGCCTGTTGTAGTATCAGGTGCTGCTGTGGTGAAGTCGTGCGCTACTGACGCCGAGGCGGCCGTCGTTGTGGCAGTGAAGGAGGAAGAGGAGTAGGAAGGGGAGGAGTGAGGGGTGGAAAAGTCGGTGGCATCGACGGCGGTTGCGGAGAGGTTGGTGGGTGCGCAAGGTGATGAACTGGAAGTGGGGCCTAGCGTTGTGGGTGTGTCAAGGCTGCGGTCAATGCCGCTCTCATGGATGCGCATGTGGCCGAATAGACCCATGCGGTGGGTGAAACTGCGAGGGCAGTGTGGGCAGTGGAGGCGAGTGCGGTGGGTGTTGGTTGGTGCTCCATGCGCTGGTTCGCCAGTCTCTGTGCGATGGATTCGCAAGTGACCGACCAGGCCGATGCGTGAAGTGAATGTGCGATCGCAGTGAGGGCAGGTATAGTCCTGATCCTCATCACTGGAATCGGGAGAGGTGGGGGTGGTGTCGGTTGTTGTGTCGGGGTTGATGTGCAAGACGGCCGCCTGAGCGGCCGCCGCTGGGGCAGTGGGGGATGAGGAGGAGGAGGAGGAGGAGGATGGAAGTGGTTGTGGTACAGAAGAGTTGTCAGAGTTAGTTGGCGGCAGAGAGGACGAGGAAGAGGCGGGCGGGAGGACGATGGTTGGATCAGTTCGAGAGGCGCAGTTGATCCGAAGATGTCCAACAAGTCCGATTCGAGCCCGGAATGTCCGTTGACATCGAGGACACGTAGGGATCGGTTGTGCAGCGGCGTTGCGTACTGGGCGAAGTTGTGATTTGCGGGCTTCGCGTTTCACTTTGGCGGCGGCGATGCGGTTGGCTTCGTAGATAGCAGCGCCTGTCTTCACTGTTCTCCTCCATGTCGGACGATCGCAGGCGAGCTCTTCCCAGTTGGTCGGGTTGATTTGCAGACGCTTCAGGTAGGACTTCAGAGTATGCTTGTAACGGCGATTTTGTCTTCCTTCACGGCGAGAACCCGTCGCGACGTCTCCGTAGAAGAGTCGTTTGGGTAGTCGCTCGTCGTCCATGCGCACCAGGTGGCCGCTCCAGCGAAGCTGCATTTGTCTCAACATGGAGTAGATGCTGAGCATTTCCGTACGTTCTAACACATCAGTGTCGGGGATGCGATCCTGCCAGTTCAGCCTCAGGATGCGACGGAGACAACTGAGGTGGAAGTGATTCAGTCGGCGTGCCTGCCTCGTGTACACCGTCCACGTCTCTGCTCCGTTAAGTAGCGTCGGCAGGATGACGGCCTTGTACATCTTCAGCTTTGTGCTCAGTTGATGACCATGGCGATTCCAAACTCTGCTTCGGAGGCGACCGAAGGCGTGACTGGCTTTCGAGATCCTGTTGGCGACTTCTTCATCGATCTTGGTGTTCCGGGAGAGGGTACTGCCCAGGTACGGGAAGTTCTCCACCACTTGCATTTGGGTGTACGTTAAAGGGAGATCGCTGCTCCAACTGTGGCGCAAAATACAAAAAAACTCGTAAGACATGTCCTCATACATCCCTCGGGTCGCACTGCCATCCCCTTTAACTGAAAATGGTCAAGTTGGGTTTCGTTGATATACATCTCTGTCAAAAGCATCCGATCGTACTCAAGACAGTATATTTAAAACGCTGAGCGTTAGCTTTCAGAGCCAACCCCTGTATGCGGCAGTTTCAGTAGACAGTGAAAATGGCAACCGTAGGTTCATCACAGAAAACCGACACGAAATCGGTCACGGGTTCAGCCGAAGTTTAGCGACTGCTGAGGTTTGCCTAGGAGTGTCCTGTGTGGCCACCTTATGCCCTCCCGTATGTAAATGTTTGCGAAGTATGAACCAAAACTCTCCGAAACCATGGTCTTTATGTTTAAACGCGTTTTCAATCAAATGAAGCATCAGTATCGGTAGGCATGGAGTGTGACCGTGGGCTGATTCATACATGTGGATTCTTGGACAAATATCATTTGAGGCAAATATGAAGCCTGTGTCCGTTCGACCATCGCTAAAGAGGATGTCCATCGTGTGACTCATAGTATGACTGCGGTGGGACGGTGACTCGCGGATAAATTAGTTTATGATGATAGTGGACTTATGTGGCATTTGCTACACTCTCTCCTCCCTCACTCACCTGAGGCATGGAGTCAAGACAAAGTCGAGAGGACCAGGGGCGGGGTCGGGAGCAGTGGCTGACGGAGCCAAACGGTCCCTTTGTGAGTGCCACACATGCCTGTTCCACTAACGATGGACCAGGATTTTTTACAACAAGAAAGGGGTCAACTCGGATCCTGACTGAGTGGTGGTAGCACCATAGAAACAGCCGTCCCAACCTGACCCTCCGTCCTAAAAGGAGAACCGAATTATTCCATCAGTTGGTACTCTTCCAAGTCCTGACTTTTAGCCTGTCGTGTTCGTTTACTGGCGCATCAGATGGTTTGTAGGCACCAATAGGCGCTGAGTGCCAAGGAGACAGAATCCCCAGGGTCGACCGCATCGGCTACTACTGGCCGTTGTCGTGAATTCCGTATATTCATCGATGGTATCGACCGCTGCGAGACAGTTGGTTTCACACGTAAAAATTAAGCCTGAAATCGGCACGTTCATAGTCAAAAAGATATATACCTTTATGCGCTCTCAATTCAATTTTGGGGGTTCAGATCCCACTCGAAATCTAGGCGCTTTCTGCCGTAAACTAAACAAACATGAATTCCAAAGGTTTTTCCGTCGGTTAGATAGTTAATACCAATATATGCTTACACCCTTTTTAAGGCCTCCGTCAGTATTTTGATGGAAATTAGGTCAAGAGGGGCTGGGTGACCGTGCAATCCGACTTCACCTTGGCTGCTACCGAGAAGAACTCTAATGTTGCTCTATTGTCCGTGACGAATCCACTTAGACCTTCATGAAGTCGCCCGCTCATCAACGTGAACTGTTCGAAGCATCCTTATTCCACCAGTGCTTCTCAGAGCCTGTGTCGGTTAATCCCTTCAAATTCCTAACTGGGATCCTCTGAAACGATATAGCGGGCGATCCTTATTTTCTGCCGTCTTTCCTGTACAATGAGATTACCGACAATAACAAGGGAGACTGGAATGGCCACTTCTGGCTTATTAGACCTCGTCAGCCAGTCGTACCCAACACCGAAGCGTGGAACACCCGTGGACGAGTGAGTTCCGTAACACAACTGGTGAGCATCTTTCTACCACTGTTTTCTGCAGTCATCGATATGCAAATGTCTCGTCAGAGGTCCCACGGTTTCTCCAGAATCAGCGTTACCTGCCTCGAAAAACTTCATGCCCCATGTTTAAGTTCAGATGGTTTTGTATAACTCAGATGATTGAAGTAAATTACTCGAGTTTCTCTGTGTTCAAACAAGTGAACAATTACTGCTTACTTTGAACCTTGCTGGATTTATCCTCGTTACCACATCTTCGAAAGCGACATAAACTTCTGCCTGTGTTGGGAGCCAAATTATTTGTTGATTTCAGCTGGAATTGCGCCGTCTCCCTTCACGAGGGATTTTTCGCGGGGCATCTGCTGTGCTGTTCTGAAGGCCTCGCACAGGGACGGTATGCAATTGAGGTTAGCGTTCGGTTGTATTTGAGGGAGTCTGTTAATGGCTTTTTCACGGATTTCAAATAGATGTTCGATAAAGCACCTGATGTACTCGGTCCAACGCTCTTGACTACACGATTTTAAAGTCAAAAGGGGTTGTTCCTGTTGGACTGATTTGTGTGCAGCTCCAGTGTTTTGGTAGCCATAGACAGTCAAGAAGTTTCCCCCTTCTCTTCGGTTTGCGCTGCCGCCGACTTCATCTGCTTTGCTGGGCAACCGTCTGGTTTTGCATCCCCCCCCCCCCCGAATGAAACTGGAAGAATAGAGTTCTATTGTCGCCTGTGTCATTGGTCGTTTGCGCTCCATGCAATTGTTTTACATCGGAGATCGATGGCAGCATTTCTTCAGTACTATCATCGAGCTAGTCGGGATATTTTCAAAAAACCTGCCAGAGTGCTTTAACATCAGTAAGGTAGGTGAACCTATGCTGAGCGACCTCACCTGCAAGAACTTGAATTTCTCTGAAACTGGTGTCCGTTATGTTGTACAGTTTCCGTCTACGTTTGTTCTCGTGTTCGCTGTCGCCTGTTCCTTCATCTCCGTGGTCCGGGTTGCAGCCTAACTCCTGAGGTGAACAGGCGCTGGTTTGTCCGGCATTCAGCAGCAAGTCTCATATCTGTCATAAACAAGCCACGGTGATCAGGACTATTTTGCCGAGCATGCAGTCCAACAGGTGTTTTTGACGCAGCCAAGATTGCTTAGTCCCCAGGCGGCGTGATCCGTGCCTGCCTATACAGCCGCCGGAGTCACCAAGGTCAGTCAGTTCGTCTGACCACAGCACAGACACAAAGAGGGCATGCAAGGCCTTCGTGTACCTTCTCTCTCTCAAATCATCCCTACGTGTTATTTAAGGAGTGCGGGCGCTGACATTGCCGGCTTTAAATTTCGCCCAACAGGGTGGGAGCCTAAAAGGGATGAGTCCGTCCTTGTTTTCTTCAGTTTATTTGGTAAGGATAATAGGCAAAGCCTTTGAAACCCCTATTGATCACATGTCAGCTCGTTAGAAATAACTGTAAACAAAAACTAAAAATATTCGCTATTAAAACGGTACTTAATTCGTTTGAGTAGAATTGTCTCAGAGGGGAAAATTGTGGGGTCGCGGGATATTTAGCTCGGATTCAGACTGTTGATTCCGTGTGTTTTGGTGATTTCTTTTCAGATTAAAACAGCGAGTTCTAAATCATGACGTATTTTAACGAATTACCCATATATAAAGTTGGACGATACTAATAGGTTAGCTGCTGATCCAACTTTTGCTATCGTAGCACCTTCGCGAAAGAAACCAACTTTCGTTTATTTTAACTTACCTGTCCACATCGCCAATTTAACTTCACACCGGTAGACTTTTTGTAGTGTCCATTCTTTCAACAAGAGGCTGCCTTCTATTCTGATGATTTTGTTTCTGGAAATGAATCAAGGTTCCCGGAATCCAGCTAATGACAAAGGTATGGTTTACGGTCGGGGTTACTTGGTCCGGGGAGCAACTGTGCTAAAGGAAAATAACTGGCGATATTTGCTTGCACGTGCTGGGGAAAGAAATAAAAAGACCTCATGGTGGCTGTTGCTTAAGGTTAGTCAAGATGTTTTAAAGCAGTTATCGGAGTAGACATACGACAATGCAATACCTTTTCTGACAATAGCTATAAAGGGCATTAAATTCATTTACTATTATCATTAAATGGTAAAAATATTGTTCCGTTTTAACTGGTGACAATATGGAAGATCAACATTTGTGATACCGCAAAGTTCTTAGATGTTAAGCTCGTTTGCTCTACACAAATGCTCCCCGGGGTAAGTAACCCCGACCATAAAGCCTACTCTTGCAAAACTAACTGCTGGCTTTGCATTTAGCGAGTGTGTCAATTGTGCAAAACGGCGAAATGATTAAATTCTCTCATAAGTAGCATACAATTTTGAAATCTTTGGAAAATAGGCTCGGCGTTCTGGTTTGGGTTAGGGAAGAATGAGGCAATTACATAACTTGGATGCACTTTATAGAGTTTACAAACTTTTAAATCTGTGAGCCACGTATAATAGAAGAGATCCCAAAAAGTTGCGTCGGAACCTGCCGTTAGTTTGTCAGCCAGGCGATGTGGCCAATAATGCAATCTGTTACCCGAGTGCAAATGCGTCAACACTAGCTGACTTCGAGTCGCATCTTTTACGCCGTGTCTTAGTCTGGTGCATTATTTAGGCATCATATATGCTAACTAGTTGGACTATGCCACGTGTTGCTGTGGCTCAATATGATGAAATGGGAAAGAGGGAAAAGATGGGTGGGCACGTTCCCAACTGAGAAAAATGTAAGGGCCACCGGTTGGCGGTTGTGTGCGAAACCCAGGGTTATCCTTCTAGCCGCTGTCGAAGGCGGGACGATTGTTTGCTGCACCCAGTTGCGCTCGAGAATTCCGGAGTAAGTGGTGACGGTGGGCATTTATTGCGCCCACTGGTTTCGATCGAGGAATTACAGGCAGTGTTTACCTGAAGTCTCCTGCAAGCAGTAGCAGTGCATCTTCAAATGGTCTGCTGTTCCCTCGCAAATCCTGCAGTGTTCGATCAAGGGCCTTGATCGCTTTTTTGTGCGCCATTGTGCATTCATTCCAAACAATAAGTTTGCAGTCCTGCAGTACTTTTCCCATGCCAGATGCCGTGGAAATGTTGCACGTGGGAGTTTCCATGAATTGCACGTTCAGAGGCAATTCCGAGGCAGAATGAGTAGTTCTTCCGCTGGGTGGCAGGGTTGCAGCTATTCCGGACGATGCAAGCGCTCGTTTTGATGTCAGAATCAGTCTTATTAGGAACGTTTTGCCAGTCCCTCCTGGCGCAAC